TTGTTGATCATGTGCTGTCCTCCTCTATTTCATAGATATTCTTATCATAACCTGAAGAATGCATGATGAGGTCATCAGGATTCATTAATTTTTTCCCTTCATCAAGAGAAAATTACTAATATATTTGGATGTTGGTAGATGGAGTAGCCCCGAGGGCTAAAATGAATCAGCAGCGGGCAAGAAGATTCAGGGCGGCTAAAGATGCTGAGCTTGCGGTTAATTTTTGCACCTATTCCCTAATGACGGTTTTAAGTGCATGTTTAAATTTTTTTTCTAAATATGAATTATTCTTTGTAGGAAGCTGAGGAAGAAAGGTTGAGAAAGGAATTTGAAAAACAAGGGAAGCGAGTCCTGCCGAAAGAGGAAACTGAAGTCTCAGATTCAAATGTAATAACCCCGGGAACGCTTTTCATGGATAAGTTGGCCAAGGCATTAGAGTACTACATACATGTTAGATTGAATTCTGATCCTGGTTGGAAATCGATCAAGGTGAGGTTATGAAGTATACACAACATGCCATTAGAAACGACTGTAGTTTTTTTTTTAAAAAATTTGCGCAATATTATAGTTTTATATTTATATCAAACAGCATTTTTGAGTTGCATGCTAATGGAAATATCTTAACCATAAATGTATGACTATTATTTCTTAACGGTGTATGGTTGATATTAAGGTTGTTTCGAAGATGTTATGGCCATCAATTACTTAATTGCATGAAGTGCTATTTGTTGTTTGAACTAGCTAATTATTAAAGGCAGACCATGGTTTTAATTAAACTTTAAATTTTGGCGTGCAATATTTCTTGTTCATTGTTCAGTAGCGTTTATTTTTTACATTGCGTAACAAGTTCATATAGATAAGTTGCCATATGCATGTTGTTGTTGATGAAACATGCTCTAAAGTGTGACGAAATAAAATTATCTCCTTCAAGCTGGCTTGTGATACCGCATATATTTGTTGTTTGATATCAATATCATTATATCGATATCATTCTATTGCATGAAACATTAAGTTCTTGTCGTTCTTCTAACATAGGAAAAATTTTCAACTTTCCTGGCAACAAAGTATAATCCTTCTATCTGCAGGTGATACTTTCTGATGCTAATGTTCCTGGTGAAGGAGAGCACAAAATTATGTCGTTCATTCGTCTTCAGCGGAACCTGCCAGGATATAATCCAGGCACACATCATTGCTTATATGGCTTGGTACGTATGCATCAAACAATATTATTCATGCCAAATACTAAAAGCATACTAATATCCTCATTAATGAATATGTGTGTCATATGTAATTTTTCTTCAATGCATCTGACAGGATGCGGATCTGATTATGCTTGCTTTGGCTAGTCATGAGATCCATTTCTCTATTTTGCGGGAGGTTAGTTTATCTTCAGTGATCTTGATATGTACATGTGCGTGCATCACGCTTTTATGATGGAAGTCTTTGGTAGATTTCTCAATATGAACTTTAATGTTCATTCCTTTTCACTTAGTTTTATTCTTTGATAACAGGATGTCTTGAAACATGAACGGCATGATAATTCTATTCCATCCTTGAGTACAAACTTTTCCAGAATGGAGATTGACTTGGTCAAATCACGACAGTGGTTCAATAAAGGTTTCACACCTAATAGCGTAATCCCTAAGAAACCATATCAGGTAATGTTATTCAAGCTGTTCTATTTCTGACATTGGTTGCATGTCTACCCTTATATAATTTCTAATGTTATGTTTTCGTGTGGCAGTTTGTTAATGTATGGACTCTCCGAGAATATTTGAAGTTGGATATGAAGATCATGGATGCCCCTTTTGACATTGACTTTGAGAGAATCGTTGATGATTTCATATTTATATGTTTTTTCACTGGGAATGATTTCCTACCTCATCTACCTACTCTTGAAATCCACGAGGTGGATAAATTTTCTATGTTAATTGTAAAATGTCATTGTGCATAAAATACAAATTACTAATTCTTCTTTTCGTCGGGAGTGTAGGGGGCAGTAGATTTGCTGATTCACGTGTATAAAAAAGTTTTTAAGACTAATGGGGGCTACCTTGTGGATACTAGCAGGGTAAGGAGATAGTTTTACCTCTTTTCAAGTAGGGAAACAATATTAAGTTTCTATTTAGTGGGACTATTTTGCTTTAATATGATTTCTTTTTCGTGATTGTTGTTTGTTGAAACTAGATCAAAGAGAAGAAAGCTGCATACATAAAAATGAAGCGTGTAGAAAGATTCATACTTGAAGTTGGAAGTTATGAAGACCAGATTTTTAAAAAAAGATGCAAAGTCCGGGAGGTATCGTGATTTGTACTTTAATTGTTCTTCAGCTTCATGTTAGAAATAATTCATTTTCTTTGTTAGTTATGTCTAAATTCCAAAAGGCAACTGTATGTTCATGAAATCTACGTTGAATATCGGGTAAATTTTCTTACTTCATTTTGTATGGATTGGGTTATGCAGAAGCTGAGAGAAAAGTTGTTACATCAGAAACTAGAAGAAGAAAATAATGATTTTGACAAATTGGTGAGCCTTGTTTTATTTGGCGAGCGATATAAGTATACTTTTAATCTTTTTTGTTCTCACTTTTGTGATTTTATTTTATTTTTCAGAATCAAGATAGTTTGGAACATACAGATTCAGTGAATCTTAGGGGTAGTCTAATGAGGCAGAATTTAGAAGAATGTTCAACTTCAAGGGATTCAAATTCCTGTAAACAAATGCCAATAAGCTCAAAAGTTGGAGGCACTGATAAATTTGATGTAAGTGGTTGCACAATTTATTTCCATCTATCTAATATCTTTTTGTCACCTGAAAGAATCTCTACAGTCAACGCTTATCTTTACTACAAATGTTGAGAGGATTTCATGAGATAAAAACTTGTGCTTGGCTTTAATTGAGATTCACTGGTATAACCTCACTTTGTTTTCAGGTTCTTCAAAATACCAAGGAATTAAAACAAAAATTAAAGGACCATCTTCGAAATAAATCAGACTTGTTCAAGAGCGGTCTTCTAGAGAATGATAAGGTGTGTTCAATAATTTGTTGCCGTATATATTCTCATGTTGGGAGCATAGTTTTTCCCCCTGATTTGTTTTTCTCAACATATACAGGTTATGCTCGGAAATAATGGATGGAAAGAGAGGTATTATAAAGAAAAGTTTTCTGCAGAGAATCCAACAGAGATTGAAAGCATCCGAAAGCAGATAGTGGGTTTTGGATTTTCCTTGACCTTTCTCTGTTCTACTCTTGGAGTTTTATATTTTTTTATGCTGATTTACTTTATGTATAATATTTCAAGCTTGAAAAATATGTGGAAGCTCTTTGTTGGGTATTGCGTTACTATTTTGCTGGTGTGCCTTCTTGGTCATGGTAAGCAAGAGTTAAGAAATTTCGTTTCATTTAATCTCCTAATACATAAGGTCAACAATATGTATAAACTTGATTTTACTTTTCCAATAGGTATTACCCTTTTCATTATGGTCCTTTTGCATCAGACCTAAGGGGTCTCGGTTCCCTCAAAAATGAATTTAGAATTGGGAAGCCTTTTAATCCATTTGATCAACTCATGTCTGTGCTTCCATCAAAGAGGTAAATTCCCTTTAAGTACTTTCACGACTGTATGCATTGTTTCTTTAAGGATCATTTATCGGTTTCTTTTGACGTACAGTTCTAATGCGCTGCCAGAAGCTTATCGGAATCTTATGACCAGCAAGGATTCACCGATCATTAAGTTCTACCCACAAGGTAAGACACTTGCTCACAATCTCATGCTTTTGAAAATTCATGTCATACATCAAACTTTCCTTGTGATGACAGATTTTGTTGTGGACACCAGTGGAAAGAGGTTTTCTTGGCAGGTTTATAAACATAAACTATTGTCAATTTTTAACCATTTCGTAGTAATAGGAGATTAAGGCATAAGTATCCTTATTGGGTTTTCTTGTGACAGGGAGTTTGTAATCTGCCCTTCATTGATGAAGAAGAACTCTTAACTGCCACTCAAATTATAGAAAAAGATCTTAAGGTTTTAACCTTTCCCCCCTTCTAATTCTAGTTTGGACAAATTTTGAAAAACGACCTTTTCTCAAATTTAATAGGCAAAACCGACCTTCTAACAAAATATTTGGGAAAATCGACCTTTTTTTGCACGGGACCAGTAGTCCCGTGCAAAAAAAGGTCGATTTTCCAAATAACTCAAACGTCCCCCCTCCCCTCCCCTCTCCCTCAGCTCCTTCTCCTCATCTCTCTTCCTTCTCCTCATCATCAACCGCCGAGCTCACCAGACCCGCCT